GTCCAACGGTTAAGAGTAGTTCATGCAAAACGCCAATGGCAGCTACAATTCGCCGGTCAATCTCCTGCTCAAATTTTCTGACACCAGTAAATACGACTCCGAAGTAAACTCTACGAGCTTTACTGCCTCTCCATTAATTTGAAGAGAGAAACGGACAGGAGAACGAGAAAGCACTAGGTCTTTGGTTTTAGACACTTTCGCCAGCATTCCGGTCGTCGCGTTGCGCTCAACTTTTGTAGTAAGAGAGATATTGCTGAAGCTTGAAAACATGCAGTTCTTCTAAGGCACAGATTGAAAAGGCAGATGGATTACCAGTTCTACTGTTGCTATTCAAAGTCGTCTGCCGAACAGAAAATCTTACACGCCTCACTTGACAGCTACTGGCCACAGTATATGACTGCGGAATGACGACAAACAGTATGAATAAAAGCAGTGTTATTCATTTGTGATTCTTGTAACAGGTGTTTATTAACGGAGTTCTGATCGTTTCGAGAACAGCCTGGTTTGTCAGATACGATTTTCATGCAGAGTTTCGCAAACAGCTGCGTACAGCATTTCACAAAGTACAGGCTAAAGATTCGTTGACAAACGGGCAAATCAGCACTGCCTGTTAACGGTAAATCGATCGCTGCAATCCGCGTCCAAAGAAGAGTGGTGCTCAGTTCACTGAAGATATTTTCGAAGGCGAACAGGGGTGGGGAGCGGTTGTTCACAAAACCTGAACATACGCCAGAAAAGGGCGAACACCGACCTGCTGACGAAGACGATGTTGTGAATGCTGTTCTCGAACATGGCCCTCTCTTTCTGCGCAGCGGCCATCTCTTGTTCATTCAGCGACGTTTCCTCGACGTTCGTATACTGATCTGAGCACGGGCAGCACTTGTACTTCGAACAGTAGCCGTCACCCCATGACGAGCTTTCGGGCACAGGGTAATAACTCGGTGGCACGATGTCCAGCGAACCGAAGTTCTGCAGAGTTGCGTTTTCTTCGCCTTTCGAGTAATCGGGCGCTATAAGAAACAAAGCACAGCTATCGCAAGAGTCGGACATGGCGCGAACGCAAGCGCATACGAAACTCGCAGTAGTTGCGGTCCTTCGACAGAAGTTTGATCTTAGGGAAGTACGATATCATGTAGTGCGTTATCTGCCCGTTCGGGACCAGGGGCGCCTCCCATCGCAGGAAGATACTCGACTCGGAAACGCTTTCGACCTCCTTCAACAAAACGTGGCTGGGCGCTAAAGCAAAGTTTACAGAACACACAACGCACGCCTACGCACGGACGACGTACGCCCAAACGTTGTGCGAATGTACAGCACTTCCGATATACCGCCCTTGGCACCGGGCGAATTGACCATCAGCGTTTTCACGTAGAAAGCATAAAGCGTGTAAGGCATAAGATTGGTCACCATAGCTCCGTTGACCAGGGGCTGCACGAACTGCATCTTCCAACTAAGCACAAACAGGTAAACAGTAAATTCGCGTTAAACGAAACAACATCAGCAACAGACCTGTCATGGCACGCATCGCGGTCTTCAAATATGCTGATATTCTCCGTTTCGACAGGTCGATAGTACAACTGGTATCCGAGAAACATCCTCTGGTCCATTCCAGTGGTGTTGTACTTATCCAACTCAATCACAACAGTATCACGGCCAACCAGAGCGCACTTGAATGTGATGTTCAGTTCTTCACCTAAAGTGCTACAGATTCAATGTTTAGAGATAACGACAATAACGAAAAATACTTCCATTAATACGCTCAACTGAAGTGGTTCTGAACGATCATTCGGACATATTACTCATCTATAATTTCAGCCAGTGGTAGTAAGCTACGGCTTCAAACATTTTACCAGATTTGGATTTGTTAGGTTTTGACAGACGTTATTTGTGGTGAAACAACTGATACTGCCGTAGGAGAAAAAAATCGCCGGAAAACAATTTTTAGTAACAAACAACTGAAACAAAGTTTTACTACACAACAAATGTTCTAATCAACAGACAAAGGTCAGACGGTATAAGATGAAAGTATCCTGATAGAGAAACTCTGATGTGGCTAAGATCAGGATTCACATTAGGACTACAAATGTAGATTGCCACACAATAGCAAAATTCGATTTTTTCATTCTCATCCAACACGAATGAATGAACAACAAAGAAAAAATCGAGATTCATAGAGGAACTGTTTCTTTCATGGCTCTGTGATCGTTGTGACGTCTAGAGGAAGCAAGGAACTGCTACGATACATAAAACAATGGTGCTGGGAATGTAGCAATGATAGACAAATTTTCGTCCATAAGTACATGACAAATGCTACAGTATAATCGATTAATGATTTGATCACCAACTAATTACCTCAAAAATTAGAAGACGAAATCAAAGAACATTATAAACGATGACAAGCGACGTGAAGAAACTGAGCAGCGATTACGAGAAGCAACGGAACAAGAATGTTCTAGCAGAAGATTTGTTTCACCACAGTGAATATAACACGAGATTCACGATATACGGAAAAGAGTAAAATAGTCGCTGAACGAATGAGTTCAAAAAAGTATCGGAAAATGTATAGAATGAGAGACGGTAACTAAAACGGATGGAATAAAAGATCTGGGCGAAAATGAAGGAAAGTAACAGGTGCAGGGTCAAAGAAGGGAAGAAATCCGAACTATGTCAAAGGATAAAAACATAAAAGGAAGAGAAATCTCATTCTGTACATTCTGCGTAAATTCAGAATCACCGCAAAAATATACGAAATTAAAACAGAACAAAGTAACTGGCAAAATGTAATGTGTTCACAGCGAGAGATAGCGTTGCCATGCGAAAAGCAGCAATAATAAACAGATTGAGAGAAAATTTTAAAAAAAGCTGCATAAGTAGTCGAAGTTACAGAGAAGAAGTGCCTTATGCTCACACATCGAGTCGTTTAGAGCGAGACCAAAAATAAACTGCTGTCTGAAAAAGTGGAATGAACGGTGAAAGCCTGCGACAGTGCAAGGCATAACGAGAAGATAAAATATAAGTTACAGTGATCAAAGCTGAAGGAGAAAAGGCAACCAGTCAAAGAAATTTAATATGCAACAAAGTCTGTAAATCTAAGAAGATCCAATATGAGTGCGGCTTAGCCGTTATCATAAAACGTAACGCGGCAATAACGTAATGAGGCAGTGTTTCATCAGTGATAAGTGTTAAAATTCATAACACAGAGAATGCAATGGAAAAAGACTGAACGAATTCTGAACGAGATGTGAATTGCATTTCCAATTGGTCGCAGACCCACGTCTAACTCTCTGTAAGATGATACGCGCAGAAGACCTACAAAGTACCGTAAAGCCATTACTGCTAGCGTCAAGTAGGCATTTGACACTGACCGACGAGGGATTTTATGGAAGACCCTAGGACCGTATGAAATAACAACGGGAACTGCGAGATTCATGAAGAAGGGATACGCGAAATGTCTTAACGCCGTCCCACCAGATAAAGAACTAACAGCACAGATCACGCTGATGACACAGTCAAACGGTTGGATACCATCTCGATATTTGCTTCCTATCGAGCAGGTAGCAAGGGCCAGGCGAACAAGTGAAGAAAATTCAGCTTTGCTGAACGAAAAGACACTAAAAAATATATGATTTATTTATGACATTGACATGACCGCTGATAACGAAGAGGCATGGCCAAACAATATTCACTGAAAGAGAGAGTGAATGATGAGAATGGGAATTCGCGACTGAAAAAACTACGCTCACGACAACTAGCAGAAAAAAGAAACACACAAATACACCAGAAGACGGGAAACACAGAGAGAAGAATCGGATGATGTAAAATGGGTAGGTTGATGTCAGCAGTATGGGTGCACAATGTGGTAAATAACCAAGCGAGATGATGAACAGCACGCGGTCACACAACGAACTACGGAACGAGTGCTGGATATTTCCAGAAGAGATCAGTGAACTAATGGGTCCGTCAGATAACCCGAGTGAAGGGCGTTGGGCAGGATGCAAGGCAGAACAAAGTCGAGTGCCAACAAAGTTAAAAAAGATGGACGTACGCTGTGACCGAATGGCAAGCGAGGAACGCGAAACGAACAAGACATCGACAAACAATGCGGTGAGAGAAATCGCATACGAAAAGGTTGAGGTTTCGTCTGAAGATGGAACGCGCAAATGGGAAAATGCATTAGAAATCGAGATCTGTATCGTCTTCTTAAGACTGAATAACTGATCGACGACAGAGAATGAAAGGTACGCTAGTCCAAAGTCCAAAGACGGACAAGATTAGGCCTCACAATAATGAGACAGTTGGCCACAGCAGGGGAACAGAAGGGTAACAATAATACTATACGATATTTTAACTTCGCCAGCGACCAGCTGTTTCAGAAAAATGAACTGCAAGAGAGGGTGAAAGAAAAATATGACCTGCGTGCAGAAAACTAAAGACTGCCGGATCAACGGATTTCGTGATGATAATCAAACAACGAGATTCACTACTGAACGGTAGAGATTACCATAACAAATGATACAGACACATCTGCTAGGAAACACCGTAAACAGATGGTCAGCCAAAGCACTGTTCACTGAAAGACATACACACTGGTGGCAAAAGTGAGAAACAATGGATAAACAGGAGAAAACTGGTGGAAAGAACGTCCACAGCTTGCGTAAAACAAGTCACGGTGGGCAGCTGTTTGCAATGAACGAACCATCGAACGTCATGACATCTGAAACAACGGCAGTAGTGATCGTCTTCTGCTAGCAGCAGGACAGCCCCGTTTCACCGTGTCGGCAGCAATGGCGCTTGCAGATGGCATTAACAGTCGAAATGGAAGAGGGTTGCATGCACATCACAGCGTCTGATCAAGCCGGCAGAGTAAATGGCCGACTATTCATGTTTAGATCCACTTGGAAAGCTACTGAAACGAGGCCACGATTTTGTTTTAAGATTGGACGAAAGCTCGAGAGAGGTGACGTGCCTCGGGTGAATGCCTTCAA